AGAGGCGTCAGAAATAGGGGGGAACAGACATACCTAATGAAGACTGTAGTCCTGAGAGACTCATTTTATCATATATTTTTAGTTATGTTTTTTGTGAAACTGCACCCTAAACAGTGGTACAGTTATTCTAAATGATGAAATCTTTAGTTAATACAAAACCTAAGGCTAGGATGCTATGTCATCCCAGTATTTGCAGTAATCAACCAATATGCACAAGTGTTTTTTGACTCAACCACTAGTATATCATGTTTGGCTAATTAATACCTCATTAAGTTTTTTAACTAATTAATTAAGTGAGCTGTCGGTGAAATTGAATGAAATTGAACGGCTGAGGTGCCCCCGAGGAGGGGTTTGGGAACTGAAGCGGTGTTCATCTAGCTGTCTGTCAAGATATCACTAACTTTTGGAAAAATAGAATAAATTCTTGTAGAGTTTTTATTTATTTTTATTTATTGTGTCACTGTTAATTTGCATGTATTCCAGTTTTAAATCGTATTTTTTTGAGCAAATAATTTTAAACATTTTCTTTAAGATATTCAATACAGTATATCTACGCATCATTGTGCATTATGGTTTCGTATTCAAAAATAGAAATATATGTAGTATTACAAATATTTAGAATTAAAACTTCAAAGACAAAACAAATAAAGTAGTTTGCCTTTCTTTTCTCCACCACGGGGACAGGTGTCCTGCTTGGATGGAATTTGAAAGCCACATTTCTGCCACCGGAAGCTGTCCAGTGACCATCAGCTGACATCCATGAATCCAAAAATGTCCCCGTATTCATTGCGAACAACAATTTTATTGATTCCATTTGGCTGCAAAAACCCTATTCTTCACTTAGATCTTCATCCACGTGGAATCGCAACTTCATACATGCAAACAGATGAATACTCAAGACTGGAGAAGGGCTAAATGTGACCATCATTGGAATATTACACCAGTAATTACACCAAGAAAATGCAAAAACCGAAACAGTTTGCAAGTCTCCAAGGTCTGTAGGTGTTGACTGTCCACGCCTGACATGGTCTTCATCTGGTATGGAAGAAAAGTAAACTGTCAACAGAGCTTCAAGGGTTGGCTTCATTTCTATTCGTTTGGATCTCACCAGCAGCCTTGACAGTCCATGTGATCTGTGTAGAGAACATCCATCCATGCGTTGAGCGCAGAAAAGCCTGCCATTCCTCCTGAGAGCCTCACCGAGCTTGAGAGACGGTTGCCTAATGGAGCCTTTGTCCCGGGGCTGAAGGCTGATCCAGGGGCCTTTGTAGTTCCTATCTTCTCCACCCTCCATTTCATAATTTCCCAGGGAGACCTGCCTCAGCGTGGAGAATGTTCTTCTCGCTCTGCGTTTCCCTTATTATGCCCTCACTGCACGTCGTCTTCACAGGTCAGCTCACCCCGCACAATTGGAATTAGCGGCACGTTGCTACACCACAGATTCTCAAAGGCCATGCGTCTTAATGAAGGACACAGAGGGTTTTGTTAAAAGCCTACAGCACTTTTGACACTCCAGCCGATTGTTGGCACCAGGTGCCCGCATCACTGGACAACGTTGATTTTGTGTCCCACTCTTCATGAATTAAAGTTTCACAGAATGACGGCTCTGCATGTGTAGAGTTTCTGCATATTTCCCTGTGTTTGCGCGGGTTTTTGGTGTTGAAAGACCAAAGGTTTATCCATTTGGCACACACAGTAATACCTTTTTTAAACTGATGATTCAATTGATGATTTTATTGTAACTCCATCAGACAGGGTAAAAAAGCATAATCTTTTCTAGGTTACTATATTAATGTCATGAGCGGCATCCAGGATGGAATCATTAGTTAATTAAGTGACGATTATCCCCACATGGAGGTGGTCTATTTAAACCCTGGGTCTCCTAGCCCCCGGAGCAGCATAAGCCATTAAGCTCAAGCTGAGGTTCAGCGGTCTTTATTTTTGCAAACGTCTAGCTTGTGGCTTGTTTTCTTATGTAAGGAACCCTTGGAATAAGCTTAATCCCCACCCTGTTTACTTCCTGAACTTAAGGCTGGACACAGTGCCCACGTAAGCACTAAGGATAAAAAGATCATAATATGTGTTCAGTGTAAATCTGTTTCATTTATGCTGTCAGACTGTTATCAGGGTTTATTTTTGCATGAAATATCCTTTTCGATTTTTCGGTTTCAGCATCAGATTTTGAGAAGACGAATATTGACACATTTGTAATATATATTTTGAATCCTTCTGTTACAGATTTAACTACAGCTTGGCTTTAATTATTCACAATTTACCAAGAAATAGCAGATGATGCCGGTGTTTATTCATTGATGGAGTCAAACATGTTCGCTTTCTGAAATAAAACTGTAAGCACTATGCTAACTTACTATTTTTCAGCTAGTATACAAGCTATTTTTTTCTCTTTTATGCATCTGAGTGAAAATTAGTAACACTTTGTGTGTCATTCCCAATGCAAAGTGCTTACATTTGTACTTACTAAACTAAAAGTAGAATTCCATATATTTTTACTTGTGGACACAGACCAGTAGGAGTGGAAAATTGATGTGCTATCTGATAACTACACCACAATTAATTTAGGAACATTCAGGATGGTGGTGCTGGGGGAGGAAAAAAAGATTACCTGGGGAGATTGGACTTTCAGTCTGCTTATTTCTGTTCCCCACTGATTTGTACCAAACACAAAAAATGATGGCAGTAATTATCAAGTGGGACGTGCCTTTTATTTGGTGGGCAGCAGGTGAATGACACGATTCGCCCTGTTCTGTCCTCCAGCCCTTCAGGCTGCAGTCTGCAGCTGCCTGCCTCATTACCGCTGTGATTGAATGGCCTGTCTGGCATGGTGTGTGCTGGCTTTAGTAATTTCTTCTGTTTTCTAAGCTTTCTAAGGAGCATCTCTGTTCCCTCTGCAGGCATCTCCCCTCTCTCTCTACGATTTGCTTTTTCACTCACTCCATCTTTTGTCTTCCCTTCTCTTTCCTCGCTATTCTTTGTTATTTATCCGGCCCTTTTCTTCGCTAATGCTAATGCGACTGCACGATATAAAAGGAGAAAGCGACACTCATTTTTATTCATTCATAAATAGATGATAAAGTTTCCGCATTGAACTACTAGTTTCACGAATCACAAGTGGACTGATTGAACGTCATGGTGTTAAAGATGCGAAAGTACAACTGTGTTAGGTTTATGGTCAAAGCCATAATGAGGAACATCTGACTGGGAAGTCTGGACACCGTCCAGAGTTGTAGACTCGTCTAGCTCAGACGTCATGAACAGAGTACCGATATTACCTTGTCCTCATTCTGAAGAGATCACTTTAAAAAAGGAAAACACTGCCTTTTGTGGCCCTCGCAGGAGTGGTAAACAACCCGCCTGAAGAGCAACACGCACTAACAGCGACCAGAGATCCGTGACACGGGAGGAATGGTCACACCACGCTTGAAGAACCCAGTCGGCAATCAAAAAACTGCGGGAGGGAGGCAGAAGCCGGCGAAACGTCCAGATGCCGGCAAACGCACACAGATGGGCAGCACAGGTCGCGGCGACTGAGCGCGCTCCTTTAAAAAAGCGTCGTTATCCATCTCTCCCGGCAGCCCGCTGGAGAATGACTAACCTATTACGACCGTCACCCCCACCACTCACTGGAAATCTTAAGTTTTCTTCTCTCTTTTATCTCGCTTTGTAGTTTTTTTCCCTCGACAAACACAGTCCATTAGGGGTCTCTGCACCCCAGTACCTCCTATCTGGTCCTGCATCCCACCACATCTTCACTTGATGTTTTTGAAATGAAACGAAAGACATCTGACCTGTTATGGTCGTGGTATTTTTATTACACCCTCATGGGCCACGTTTTTAGCCCAGCTGCCCATTAACGCAAACAGCCTGCTCCTTATCAGCAGCCGATCATGTGGCTGCAACTGAATATATTCAGGACACAGACATTGTAGAAAGGCTACGATGTGAGATGGGGGGGCTGGCGATTAAAATTTGCCGAGCGTGTAGTCCGTGTTTGGTCAGGATTGATTTATCATGTTTCGGTCTAAATGCAGAGCAGTTTGCCTGTTCAGTATCCTTGGTCTCCAATTTACAGAGAATGCTGTGATAAGACAGAGGCAGTTCTCATTGTTAATGACGGAGGTGAGAGTTTCATGGCCAGATTACTTGAAGCTAATGCTAACAGGAAGGTCACAAGTGCAAAGATAACGGTTCAGTACAGCAGTGGTGTGCAGAAAGGCAACCATTGCAGTGGTTCTGTGGGTAAGACTGGGACCTGCCTGGTACCTAATATTATTTGAACATTATTTCTAAACGAAACAGAAAAATACCATACCAGGAGGAACTGTGTGACATGCAAAAGAATCATAAAGTGAGCATAATTGATGCCTTTCTTTGCTACTTAATTCAAGATTTTTGACAAGAAAACTAGGGCAGAACTTTCACAGCTCAGCATTTTTAGCAACATGCTGATTAGCACTGAGGAAAGATATTTCTGCATCACTCCCACTGATGTCTGTAGAATTATCATCTCTCTAAGTGATAACTGACGTCTATAGACCCCACAGTTATAGATGTAATATGCAATGAAAGGTTTATGTTAGCATATAACAATACGTGCATAAAATTTTGTTCTTTGCAAATATTTTA